GCAGCTCCGGTACCGGACCTACGTTATCACATGAATAGTCCTCCGGCGACTCAACGTCCCGGTAGTTCTCGAGTCATAACGGATTCAACTCCGACGTTCACGACCGATATGCCTTTTACGGTTTGATATTCCCTTCGGACTTATTCTACCTCCGATTATCAGTTCGTAACCATATGCTCCGTCCTTACGATTGACAGTTCCACATGGTTCATAGTTCCGATAACTCCTTATTCCACATGGTTCATAGTTCCGATAACTCCCTATCGATACGAGCTCCGAACCGTGCCTCCGCGTATATAAACTCCTAGCTCCTGTACTCTAACTCCTTAGTTCGAATATCGACTAAGTTACTCCTCTGCTCCGACACGGACTTAGAGCGCGTAGCGACTCAAGCCTTAAAGCTTGAGTCTGGTCCGTACTCGCACTCACTCTCTGTATCTCGAAACTCTGCTCCGCCTTTCTCCGACTCTCTTCCGACTCGACTCCGACAATCATCTCGCTAGGTCCGGACGTCATACCTCCGGCGTCGGACTTAGCTCCGTCTCAATCTTGACAAGGCCCCACAGGATGTCATGTCACGCAGGAGATAATGAATACATCTGACAAAACCCCCATGGAAATATAGCACAATATAGTGTTCAATAGTCTACATAGTACCATAGCAATGTCCTTTTCTATGAAGGCTATAGATCTATCACCAGCTGCTATCATAGATCTCAATATGCTATGGAATTGTGGGCTATCGCTATATGTTCTATAAACTGTCACACTACTGACTATCACTGCTATAGATGTTCAGGTAGCTGGTATATACACTATCTACCCTCTATAACTTCTGTATTATATAGAAAGTATGTATGTTACCCTACAGTCATAGGCTATATAACCTCCATACCCTCTGTATGATATAGAGGGTATGTATGTTATCTGACAGTCCTAGAATATGTAACCTCCATACTCACTGTATTATATAGAGGGTATGTATGTTATCCTACAGTCCTAGACTATGTAACCTCCATACCCTCTATATTATATAGAGGGTATGTATGTTATCCTACAGTCCTAGACTATGTAACCTCCATACCCTCTGTATAATATAGAGGGTATATAAGTTGCCTCACAGTCATGCCCTGGGTCCAGTACAGCTTCTATAGTATTGCAAGAGCACGTCATAGGATTATATATGCTGCACTGTAGTAACAAGGCAAAAACATGCACATAGATTTACGGAGACGGCGATCAGTCATAACACGAGTAGTTACTAGGCGTTAGGCATCGGTGTTCTGTGGGGCTCCTTGTTCGGCGTCAACATGCCCGAGCAGCTCGGCACCCTCAGGCTCGGCACCCTCAGGCTCGGCACCCTTAGGCTCGGGCTCGACAGCCTCATCCCCTGGCGAAGCATCCTTAGGCGCGATAGCTTGCTGTTGAGGTAGTTCGTCTTCGCTGTCACTGAAATCGAGAATCGAAAGGTCCCCTTTGACGGTCGGATTGGGTGGAGCACGTCCCGCGCGTTGCCTGGGCATCAATCAGTAGATAGAAAACAATACTGGCGGGCATGATGCCGTACCACGCGCCGTCCCACAGAGATTTCTGAAGCCGGATGAACTTCCGCGGTTTCAGTTCCTGCATGGTGCGGAGATTCTCCATGTGCCGAGCGTAAACCGGGCTATACTTGTCCGCAGTGAAGTCGTTCACATGCGGAGAATTCGTTCCGCTCTCCCAGTCCAGCAAAGCACACTCGACCTACAGACAATCAGTATCGGATTCACTACGGCTGATCAAGCTCACTGCCGTGGCGATCAACGCGATGAGTTTGTCGGGAATCGGATTGAAGTTCGCGGAGAATATGCCCGCCGCTTCGGCCTTCCGGCCTTGAAACCATTGCTGTACCAGCAGCGTCAGTATAATCGGATTGCGGAAGGCCCCTTTTCGCTGTTGACAACAAGTTAGCAACGAAAAGAATGATGTATCATGACTTACCTCGAACGGGTCCTCGAAGAGGAAGGAGCCGTGATCGAGCAAGTCTCGTATGCCGTCCTTGATATTCTCGGCGGGTATATTGAGGAAGCCGTAGTTCGTCTCGACTAGGAGTTGTGCCTTAGACTTCAGCTCGCCGCGAAGTTGCGAGCTGCCGCGTTTGACCTACACGTACCCGGAGGTTAGTGTATATGTATTCGTATGAAGGCAAAGACTTACAATGCTTATCATTGTTTTGGAGTATAACTCGACCTCTTCAAAGCGCATTCGACGACTCTCTACACCGAGCTCCTTGCACGCCTCGAGAAAGCTGGCCTTCGCAAGTGAAATCGAGTCAATTCCGTTCGGAAACGGCTGCGTTGTCGCGGGGGTGACCCTGAAGTGTGTGCCGGCAAGCTTCGATATCGACTTTGACGGCGGGGACTGCTTCCCCTGTAGACATCCAATGGCGCGGATAGGGTCGTACGGTGAGTATTGTCTTGATCCCTTGGTGGACTTCTGCGGGGTACGCTCAGACGGCGGAGTCGAATTCCGGGATGATTGTGTCGAGTGGCGCCGTGAGTGAGTTGTCTTGTTGACCTTTTTCCGCGGTGGAAGGTCCTTAGCAACCGCCTTCGGAGTACTGTTGATAATCTGGAAGGTTAACATGGCGTGCATGTGAGCATACGACATCGTGGACATTGCGAATAGAGGAGATAGAGTACGTGGGGAAGGTGCTTTGCGTTCACGCGTCGACGCTTTGACACCGGTTCTGCCTCCCCCTCGGCTTCCTGCTCCTCAACAGACTCCGCGTCCTCTTGTTCTTCGTCGGTACCCTTTGTATGAATATCTTCTATGGATCTGTACTTCCAGTCTAAGCATGTAGGACATGATCAATGATCAGTGATTTCAGAAAGCTCGGCGACGTACACGCCGCATTACGCTGATTCTCCTCAAAGTCACTCTCATCGTCTGTTACACCAGCACCACCGTTCGCCTTTGAGCCCATAAACAGGCTTGCTTCGTCATCGTCATCTGACTGGTCCTTGTTGTGCCGGCGAGACGAGTTCTTGCCCTTGTTACTTGCTGATGCGGTCACGGTAGCGGAGCTGGTCGACACTGAAATACCCATGAGAAATGCCTGACGACAACCAAGAAAGTATCCCTTACCGGTGCGTTTGTGGCCTTGCGATCGCGATGACTTGCGCCTTGCATTGACCGGCATTTCCAGAGCTGTTCGTCCACGTTTCTGCGCCGCTTTCATGACTGGGGCCTGCGTGATAGCGATCGAGAATGTCTATAGCGGTCGGGACTGTCTATAGCAAGTATAGAAGAGGCGTACGTGGCAAGCGCTTGGCTCTCGATGGTCGCACTTCAAGCCGGAGGACTACCCTTCACCTCTGCACACTAACCGACGGTGAGTTTTCAATCACCGGGGCAACTCCGACCGCTCATACTTCGTCACTCAGCGCTCGATTCACAACCCTTTGTTGCTCACTGGCAGCATTCTGCGTGCTCGGTGCTTCAAGATAGTCGCACGTCGAACAACTACTTCGAGGCTTGGACAACCGGCAAGACTACACGGCCTTTCACGAACAGTCAAGCAGCGCCAACACGGCTTCGACGCTTTCATTCCCAGCCGAAAGCCCGCGTCTCCCCTGCGTTCACTAACCAAAGGTGAGTTAGTCATTTCTCGGTGCACCGCCGGGCACTCATGCTTGGTTTAATCAGTCTTCGATTGCACCTACAATTCTGTCGATGCCTGGCAGCTTTGCATGTACCGGATGCCTCAAGACGTTTGCATCCAATGGCTACCTCCATAGCCACCAACGGCAGTCTGCCTCATGCAGATGGCTTCATGATCTACGCTACAAGGCTGACCCTGCCCCTCTTCGGGACTATGCCGATGCTAGCGACCAGGAGGATGACCCGCCTCATGCTCACCTGGATGATCCGCAAAACTACACGCCCGGAATGCGCTCGGAAGACGACGGGAGCATGGATTTCAGTGATTACGATCAGCGGACCGGTGCAGCACCATTTCAAGCACCATTCGACCCTCATACGCCTCCACGTCAAGTTCGTTCGCAGCCGCTTCACGACCCGTTAGAACGGGTAGTCGCAGAGAAAGCAGTTGATGCTGATCCCGCATCGACTGTCGAGTATCGCGGCGCTGGCAAAATTCTGCGGTACGACGAGGATGTTCGTGCACGCCTGGAATCGGCCAGGACAAGCGAAGCATCGGTCTATGAGCCTTTCAAGCACGATCTGGACTTCCAGCTCGCTCGGTGGGCCAAAGAAGAATGCATTAGCGCAAATGCCCTTACGCGCTTGCTCGAAATACCTGAGGTACGTTGCTTGACCCGGTCTCGTCACTGTCTGCTTATCCATGGTCAGGTCGTTGATCGCCTCGATCTCTCATACCACAACGCTCGATCTCTCAATCAGATGATCGATCAGCTACCTGGTAACCCGACCTGGATGGAATCAGACTTCTCGGTAGTCCACGAAACGCACGGCGTAGTCACCCAGAAACTGCGCTTTCGAGATCCGCTGGAATGCATCAAGTCCCTCTACGCCAATCCCGACTTCACAGACCATATGAGTTACGCGCCTGTGCGCGACTTTTGTGATACGGAGAACACGCAACGCATGTACAGTGAGATGAACACGGGAGATTGGTGGTGGGAAACCCAGGTACGACTCACCTCCGTTACTTGTTGCGCTCGCGAATCTCATGACGATACAGGCGAAGTTACCGGACGGTGCGACCGTCGTCCCGGTGATCCTGAGCTCAGATAAGACTCAGCTATCAACGTTCAGTGGTGATCAGCAAGTCCACCCTGTGTATCTCTCGATAGGCAACATCTCGAAGGATATTCGCCGAAAACCTTCCTACCACGCGCAAGTTCTCATTGCGTATCTCCCCATCACCGACATGTCTCACCTTCCCGATGACGTTGCCCGTGTCATGCGGGCACGCTCTTTTCATGCGGCCATGCGCGTTGTTCTCAGGTCGCTCGAGGATGCGGGGAAGACAGGTGTGGAGCTTACCGGAGGGGATGGTGCCATCCAGTTGGCATTTCCCATTGTTGCAGTGTATGTCGCCGATCATCCAGAGCAAAGTCTGGTCTGCTGCACTCGGTTCGGACAAAGATGCCCGAAATGTACGGCGGCGGCTACTGATTTTGCCAAACATCGTCTTTCCTCCTGGACTCTTCGGAAGCAAACGGATACCCTACGTAACCTCCGGCGTGCGCAGGCGCACGGCTCATATCGCAAAGCTGAGGCAGCTCTCAAAGCCGCCGGGTTAACCCACGTCGACGACCCCTTTTGGGCCCATCTCCCCCACTGTAATATTCACTCCGCCATATCGGCTGACGTACTACATCAACTCTACCAGGGCATGCTTATGCACCTAATAGAGGGGTTGACGGCTCTTATTGGTGCATCAGAGCTTGACGCCCGCCTCCGACGCTTGCCTGAAACCCACGGAGTCCGCCATTTCGCAAACGGCATCAGCGGTTTGGCTCAAGTTTCTGGCCCCGAACGCAAGCAGATGGTTAAACAGCTCCTTGGCTGCGCTGTTGGGGCTATTAGCCCGCGTGCTTTGCACGCAACCCGGTGCTTATTCGACTTCATATTTATTGCGCAATACATCAGCCATTCGGACGAAACTCTCCGATATCTCGATGAAGCTCTCGCGGGGTTCCACATGGATAAGCAAGTTTTCATTGACGAAAGTGCACGCGCCGGTATGTTCTCTGATACTCACCTCTACATATACTAACGAGATACTACATCGCAGTGCCGAACTTCAACATCCCGAAGTTGCACATGCTATCACACTACGTCGACGGCATCCGGGCTGTCGGTACAACGGACAACACGAACACGGAAACGTCGGAACGGCTTCACATCGACAACGCCAAGCGTGCATATGATGCCACGAACAAGAAGCAAGACTACGTGGAACAAATGACGCGGTGGCTCGAACGCTACGAGAAGCTTGCACTTCGCGACGTACACATCCGCTGGTATACCAACACACTCCCGCCACCTCCGCGAACTCACTCGCGACGGATGAAGATCTTGCCGTGTGGTCCCACGTTGTCGAAGTTTCCGCACGTTACGGCTGTTTCATTCACCTCTATCGCTTCCAACTACCACGCACCCCGCTTCCTGGATGCACTCCGGGCATTCATTGCCATTTCGCGATGCTCCACCGAACGTGAACGTGCAGCCGCTCGGCGCCGGAATCATGATAATCTCGAGGTGCCGTTCAACTGGGTAGACGTGTGGCACCGTGCTACATTCGTCCTATCCAATATTCAGATTGACGGAGCGCCTGACTTCGTCACGACACCTGTCGCTAACCCCTTCGGAGGGCGAGACCGGTCGGGCCGCTTCGACACCGTCCTGGTTGATGTTGCGGACGCCGACGATACGGGCATTGAAGGTCTCGGCGTCGCGCGTGTACGAGTCTTCTTCAAGGTCCCTGAGCAGTTCAGTAAAGTAATGTTCACTGACTACGGAGTGTCTTCGCCGGGACATCTGGCGTTTGTGGAGTGGTACACCCCACCGTCGTCGAAGAATCGGCACCACCAGATGTATTCAGTGACATGGAAGCGAGGACAGCCAAAGGTGGGGATTGTTGAGGTTTGCAAGATTCGGAGGAATTGTCAGCTTTTCCCGATGTTCGGGGAGAAAGCTGACAAGTCGTGGTCATCGACAAATGTCCTTGATCGCTGCGAAAAGTTTCTAGTAAATAACTTCCAGGATCAACATGCTTATCAGTCCCTATGGTAGGAACAGATAATAAGCTTTGTACTGTTGTACTGTAATGTATAGCTATTATCCTAGACATAACAAGACTGTTTAGTTCAACTGTGAAGTGATTCAAGTTCTTGAATTACTCGCACCATTGCATGGATGTGGAGGCTTACTATGCCTTCTATGGACTCTATCCAACCACCTGGTTCAACTACAGATGCTATAGAAGAGGTACCTGTCCTCTATACATGCTATTCACCTAGGGAATCGTGCTCTATAACCTATGACTACTATAAAACACTTTATAACGCTCAGCTTGAAAGTGATAGCAACCATAGGCCTACTATAGCTTAGATAACATGAGAGCCAGACTACATAGCAGGGGGTTTTTTCAGATGTACGATGCGACGATTAAGGCGCCGATCTTGCGTAAGGGGATTCACCAAGTTTCATGCCCTCGCATACTGGACAGCCGAGCGCATCCGGGGACGTACCCAATCATCCCATTGGCACGTCCCCTGTCGTGTCGGAGCAGCGGATCTGTTCCGGTACGTACCCAACGTGTTGCGCACTCCGGATAGACGGTCGTACCCGCAGATCTTCCCACATATTCCGGGAAGAGCTGAGCC